CTACAATTAAAAAGACAAGAATGCTAGGATTAATAATCCTGGCAAGTTTAAATTGACTTTGAAAGTTTTGGGACTTACGTACCCTCTCAGGAGGACAATAATTTTACGTTACGTCAACCCCCTTTGAGGGTACAGCCAGAAACAGCGTTAGAAAGACATATAGGTGTATAGACCCAACCCTATTGCTATTTTATATAGTAATACTAGGGCTGTGTCTTTACACCTATTTGTCTTTCTAATGCTGTTTCTAAGCGAGACACGCCCCTCTGTGCTTGGTAATAGCCGTTATACCATTGCTCACGTTGGTTACATATTTGTTCATATTTTGTTAATCGTCGATCCCTTGTCAGCGTTAAGTGGGGCTTTCATCCCTTGATCTCCTGTCTTTAGTTATATTTAGCTCGGGTATTAACGCTATGGACGAGTACAACGGGTTGTATTATTCCTTTATCCCTATTCAGTGACACCCCGATCTCTGAAGCGAAGTTCCGTAACAACTTGTATGCATTAACAATAAGCGAACTGAAAACAATTAGAAAATATAAAATGTGCATAAAAAGGAAAATGATTATTTAATTTATAATTTTGAAGAATGCTTTAATGCCAAATGCACAACAATTGTACAAGAACAGCAGTTTAGTTATGTATTCATTAGATTGACGCACCATTGGTTTTGAAATAACACGGTTTTTAAAACAATACTAAACTGCAAACTATAGTCTCTACGTCTCCGGTTTAAATGTGAGCAAAGAGATTCACACAGTGACCTAACCAATAAAAAATCATTAGGATCTCCCAGAGATATGGTCTCTGCATCTTCCAAGAAGGTCGGTATTTGCGACCATTGAAACAGCTGCCAATTGCACTTGGGATTTATGTTGAAAGAGCAGGGATTGTTATGTTCATTGCATAATTGAAAGAAGACGGCAGTGTCGTGTGTCGGTTCAGCTTGGCAGTCGACATGTGGCAACTAGGACGTTCCGGGCGACGTCCTGGTCAAGGACAACGCGGGCGTCATCATGCTGTATCTCCTCTGTAATGCTTGTTCATGTTACAGCGTAGGGAACAGCGCTGCGGGAGACAACTGGTTACCAAGGGCGTACAGTACAGGAAGCGGATATTGTGATGGAAATTGAATGGTGGATGTCGTGGAGGGAATTCTTGCGTATCGAGGCTCAGCTGCTTGATTGTTACAGAACCAGGTTGAATACGTGTACGTGTACCGAAATACGTGAACGGTTTAGGCGGTTATATTCCTAAGCTTCATCATAACGTTGATCAATCTTAAAGGATTTTTCTGATCTGTTTAACAGGTGATGTAATTCCTTGTTGTATTTTAAGATATATTTGACGATTGAATCGTTGCATTGTGAGTGAGTGAGTGCGTGAGTGAGTGTAAATATGTTGTCTCTCATCTTCGACAGCTGTTGGTTGAAATGAAGCCACATGTTATGACATGTAAACTCACCGCAGTATGCCGCCCACCTCACAATGACCCTCAGATCAACGGACTCACCACAATATGCCGTTCATATCAACGGACTCACCACAGTATGACGTTCAGATCAGCGGACTCACCACAGTATGCCGTTCAGAGCAACGGACTCACCACAGTATGTCGCTCAGATCAACGCACTCGCAACAGTATGCCGTTCAGATCAACGGACCCATCACAGTATACCGTTTAGATCAACGGACTCACCACAGTATGTCGCTCAGATCAACGGACTAACCACAGTATGCCGTTCAGATCAACGGACTCACCACAGTATGTCGCTCAGATCAACGCACTCACCACAGTATGTCGCTCAGATCAACGGACCCATCACAGTATACCGTTCAGATCAACGGACTCACCACAGTATGTCGCTCCAGATCAACGGACTCACCACAGTATGCCACTCAACGGACTCAGATCAACGGACTCACCACAGTATGTCGCTCAGATCAACGGACTCACCACAGTATGTCGCTCAGATCAACGGACTCACCACAGTATGCCGTTCACTCAGATCAACGGACTCACCACAGTATGCCGTTCAGATCAACGGACTCACCACAGTATGCTGTTTAGATCAACGGACTCACCACAGTATGCCACTCAGATCAACGGACTCACCACAGTATGTCGCTCAGATCAACGGACTCACCACAGTATGTCGCTCAGATCAACGGACTCACCACAGTATGCCGTTCAGATCAACGGACTCACCACAGTATGCTGTTTAGATCAACGGACTCACTACAGTATGCCACTCAGATCAACGGACGCGCCACAGTATGCCGCTCAGATCAACGGACTCACCCCACCCAATGACGCTCAGATCAATTGGGCTAAGAACACAATGGCGCTCAGATTAACGTTCCAATACCTACGCCACAAAGGGGCCCAAGGAAGTAACCACTCAACTGTCCCCTACCCCTATACTGACACCCACCCTGCATTTCACGAGATAACGGGTACCACAACAGTTATTCCACGTAGTCACGATGAAGGATACCCCCACCCTCCACCCCAAAATGACTTCATGAAGTGGTGGTGCTAAAAGGGCTACATCCAACTTCTGTATTCCCTTCAAAAAACGGATACAACACACGGATTCAACTGATGGATACAACTGCATGATGATTTATGCCGCAGTCCGAAATATTCAAGACGGTCACTTCTGACCACATCCTCCTCGTTTTTGCTCCTACGACAGTCTGTGTTGAACAAACAATTGTTCGATAGCAAGGCCATCTCTCCACGTCGTGTGTCACCAACTGTAAGCAACATACAGCTAAGTAGTCGTCTATTTACGCCAAACATGCGTTACAAGGGGCCTTTCTGTCTGGGATACTGAGATACTGAGAGGTCACTATATACGTTTGGAGGATTCAAAGACAATTGAGAAACACACTTACACTCGAAAGAACAATCAACTATACAACTTAAAATTCTTATCTTATCTCACAAAGAAGATAGGACACTGAGAACACCCATAAATTATCATCACGAGGACGCACAAAATACCAAAAACCCAAAATGCCAGATAGATTTATCTTGCCCGTGAGAGGCGTACGCTATTATTGTGACCACAAGCCTGGTCTCGCTGGCCCACATTGTCTACATTCAACAATATAATCGCAGTGTGCTGTAAGCACTCACGCGTTCATATGGAATTGATGGTATCATGAATCCGTCGATTGTACGTCGAATACATAACATCATTAATTGCATGAATTGTTATACAGTACCGTTTTTTAGTGCCACGCCGCTTACAGACACCCCTGGTACTAGAGCTTTACACAACCTCTTAAGTAGATTAGATTCTACTCGAGTCAATCATGAGATTGTGGGGAGATGAGTCTCACTGGACTGAAACGCCGCTATTGGCCGTGTTGAGGCGTGGCACCTGGATCCGCATGTAGGATGTTCGAATCCGATAGTTACCCCGTTTATGATTCTTGGATAATATAGGCTGGAAGGACACATTTACCTATTTATATATATGATTATGTCTGTTTTCCTCGGTTGTATATTACCATTTACAAGTATGACCATTTTAAATGTTTCTGCATTGTTTCAACTCTAGCCGAATTTGCATTCGTGACAGACTTTCGGAAATGTTTGCAATATACTACGAAACTCTCTCCTCCTCTCAGTAAATATTCATACAGATGATGCAGAGGGCGACATTACACTTTTCATTCATTATCAGTTGAATTGTACTCCAGGGTGATGCTACCCGTGAAGGTCCGGGTTAGAATAGTGGTCTTCAGTAATCCATGCTTGTAGTAAGAGGCGACTAACGGGATCGGGTGGTCAGGCTCGCTGACTTGGTTGACACATGTCATCGGTTCCCAATTGCGCAGATTGATGCGCATGCTGTTGATCACTGGATTGTCTGGTCCAGACTCGATTATTTACAGACCGCGCCATATAGCTGGATCTTTGCGGAGTGCGGCGTAAAACTAAACTCACTCACTCACTCCGGGGAGATGCAGCAGTGACAATGGGTATTGCTCTGGCAAACGGAAGATATCATACTCACGTTGCACCTTTTACGTTTACTCGAAGAAGAGGTTCTCTTTGCAAACCTAACATTATATCTGTCTCTTGGAATGGAATCTCGCTGTTAGCTGCATAATCCCATACTAGACCTATTATAATAGATTGTATGGAATGGACGTTCATTCGATATTCCATATTCATTCCTAAATACCAATGTGATCATAAGCTTAAGGGAAGGCTTTTGTTGCTTTTTTTCAATCTGAATTGTGCTTCTAGCTTTTTAATGGTATATATGTTGCGCTGAATTGTATTGTTTATATTTTTATACCACATGCACTTTACTTCTGATAGAATTGGTTGGGATTGCAATAGAATTCTTCGAATAGCTGACTGTGACTGGTATTTTGGGACAGTGTGTTAACTGGTGGCATTGACAATAACCACAATTGCAAGAGATGCAAACATTGCAAAATGAATGAAAACGTATTTGCGGATCCTGACAGTGAAAGACTGACAACTGTATCCAACGTAAACACAAAATATATATACGCGTAGCCACTGGACATAACGTTGACCTTACAACACTCCCTGTGATCACTGTCATAGTCTGGCTTATCTATGCGGAGCAGGCCAGACACCGCCATGGTCGGGGGAACTGCTCCTTACAGCGTTAGGTGGTGAAAACGTCCTTTCTGGATTACCACCCCAGTTGTTATGAGCTAATATATCACCTGAGAGCGATAACAAAGATCTATAGCATGTAAGCCGGCATGTAACTGGAAGGAGAACGCCGAGCTCTGCATAAAATGTCCCATGAAAACGCAATTTGCTGAAATGCTAGAACACAATCTACACGCCTGGACTGTGAAATCCCCGTCAACTTCACAGGTCGAGAAGGTTGGATAAAAACAATAACAAATCAATACAAAACAACAATTATTCTTGTCTACTGGTGATGGCGAAATCGATTGCTTTTATATTTCGCCAATTCCATTGTGCCGCCCATTTTAATTCGATTTCCAAGAGATAGTTGTCAGTGGAATAAGAAACAGCGAGCTTCCGATTGTCGCTAACCCAGTTACCCTCTAAATGAAATTGGACTGGTCCAAGTGAGGCCGACTGCCTCCACTAACATCCCATAGAGACGGGTGATGCCTTCGGTATGGGGAGGCGAGCTTTTGTGATCTTGGTTGGTCTGGTGGTGCTGATTCGGTCGCAAGGTAGGTGTATATATATGTATACGTTTACACATTACAGCACGTTTACACCGAGAGCACGTGGCTCCTTATCGATTTAAGGTAACGAGGAAAGGTTGTGGTTTTACGTAAATATGCTACATATTATTTCGTCTACGCTGTTTGTGCCGTGTTTCTTGTGGGAAATATAACAAAACACTTGACGTCCATTATCTAACCTACTGTAAACAAGAATAAGCTATAATTATGTTTTCACATTACAACTATTACAAACTCATACATTTTTATAAATGTATACAAACCCGAACCTGACATTTCCTACATTTAGGATCCATTCAAATTTAATATTAACAATACAACAATTTATATGAATTATTGTTAATATTCAGTTATCATATATTGCATCAAGGCTTCATGTCGATCTTAAAACTTTGCTTAAGCCAAGCACTGATCTCCATCTAGAACGAAATAGGTTGTGGCAATACTATGAGTTTATATACACCAAAGGTTAAATCAGTATGTCAGCCAATCCCAAGCTGATATCTTCTAGGTGTGTATTGCATTCCTATGGTATATGGTAATTATTTCTTCATGTTGCTCTTAGGCGTGTATTGTAAACATACAGGAAGAGTACACGTAATGCGTTCTGATGAAAACCACATGCTAATTATACACATACCTATCTAAAATAGTCTTGTTCCTTCCTTATTGGTTTATTAATTATGCCCATTGCTTGCTCTCAACATAAAACATTAAATTTTTAAACGTTGGTTTTGATAAGCACTGAATAAAATATTAAACAGCTTTTAATTTCAAGGGCTGAAAGTGTGCACTTTTACAGTTCGTGCTCTCAACATACACAATAGCGTTTTTAAACGTTGTGTTTTGATAAGGCACTGAATAAAATATTGAACAGATTTTAATTTCAAGGGTTGAAATTGTGCAGTTTTACAGTTCGCCGTGCAGTGCGGCCTGTGACCGCATCAGGCCGACATTACTCTGACATTAAATATATTTAAACTGAGTTGGAATGGATGTGTTGTGATAACATAATGTCAAGTCAGTGTTGCTAATTCGAGATGCGATAAGTCAGGCTATGCCGCGAGCTGGGAGGGAGCTGAAATTTTACATCGCAGTGTCAATGTTGCAGCAATAGCACGTGGAATGGGGACGTCATCAGGAACGTCTCAGTTGAGGGGGTTGTTAATAAGGAGGCCCCAACCTGAAAACAAATCTGAGAATGTCTGCAAATGAACTGTTATCTTTTGATATTTTACCCCAATGGGAGCTTCAGTTATCAAGGAGGTTATTTTGAAATCACAAGGTTTAGTGTTTGTTTGTTGTTTAACGCCGCATTTGGCGTTTTGCAGTATGACTACTGTAAGTAATGGCATCTGGGCCAGACAATCTGGTTACTGGCGTGATCATCGATCATTGACACACTGATGTCCTTCAACTAATTATAGACAGACAGACAGACAGACAGGAACCTCATTACATAATTAGAAGTATATTCACACAAAACGATGACAATAAAATATGTAATGAGACACTCTTAATAGAGTTACGGATGACATAATCTGATTATATTATAGATGTATGTACATGAATAAATATAATCAATAATTGTAAAATAAACATAAAAGTAATAAAAATGGAAATATATATTTACATACACTGATAAAAATACATTTGAAGATATTAATGCTCATATAATAATATTTTAATGCAGTAATTATAAGTCTCCGAGTCTGACCACCCAATCCCGTTTGTTTCTCTGGGTTGCCGAGAACCAATGCTGTTTCTCTCAGGGTGACATTTTGTCAACAACCATCCAGAAGACTGACTGACTGACTGAGTTTAGTTTTACGCCGCTTTTAGCAATATTCCAGCAATATCACGGCGGGGGACACCAGAAATGGGCTTAACACATTGTGCCCATGTGGGGAATCGAACCCGGGCCTTCGGCGTGACGAGCCAACGCTTTAACCACTAGGCTACCCCACCGCCCTCCAGAAGATTGAGTGTCAGAAGAACGGAGTTCAGATCCGTAAGGTTTCACTATTCATGATTTGGGTGACGTTAGGTTCATGGTAATGAATCTAGTATATTCGCACTTCACATTTCATTCTGATAGAACTTTGACAACATCGTGTATGATTATTTTACAGGACTGTACAGGTATTTTAATGCATGTACAGATATTGGAACATGCCAGCATACCTGTCTGATGTACGGGTATATGACTGGTACACAATTTGACCAGCATGTACTTAAATGGATTGTGTATAAATATAGATAGCGACGTATTCTGTAACTCACTGGTTTGCCTGGACCAGTATAGATGAATTTTAGCATTGCCGTGAAATAGATACAATATTGATGATCACTCACTCACTCACTCACTCACTCACTCACTCACTCACTCACTCAGCCCCACACTCACTCACTCACTCACTCACTCACTCACTCCCCTCACTCACTCACCCCCTCACTCACTCCTCACTCACTCACTCACTCACTCGATCAATCACTTGTCCAAAATAAAGTTTAACTATCTCTCATGTAGCAAATGAATATTTGAAGGAAACAATCTGAGCGTTGTTCCGTCATTATTGGATGAAGACCGATGGAACTTAACATGACATTGATATCGAAACCTCCATATTTTGGGGAAAACATTTCTGAGAAATAAATGCCATGAATCATAAATAATTGAAATAATGTTTATGGAGATTGAAGTGGCAGTGGGTATGTAACTACATTATGATTCCGAGTTTGATAATGAGCTTTAGTTTCTGTGATCGATCACATTGTCACCTTCCAGAGCTTGGAGGCAGCATTCTCTAGGGGCTGTTTCAAAAGCAACTTTCACACTTTTTGAACAATTCACATGATCCAATGGTCTATTGGCTGCTGAAATATGTGCAATATACACCTGGAATGATATCTTGTCCAGACTAACATCACCCAAGGGACCGTTCATAATTTATGGTCTTGTTTTTTTAAAAGAAATTGATTTAATTAGTGAATTTTGATAAATATGTTCTGTAGATAGATGTGTTTTAATGATTGGTAGTTTTGATTAGTAACTTAGATTGTTAGTGGCTGTACCCTCAAGGGGGGTTGAAGTATCGTAAAAGTATTGTCCCCCTGAGAGGGTACGTAAGCCCCCAAACCCCAAAGTCAATTTAAACCAACCAGGATTTTTAAACGTAGTATTCTTGTTATTTTAATTTTGGCTAACATTTCTTATAATCTCCAACGGCTGAAGGGATGGTGTAAATCCAACTAGGGTCCATGCAGGTAGCAAAGGTACTGTAAGTCCCCATGGTCCCTAGTATGGTGATCTACCTTCTGTTGTTGGCGATCTATAGCCTGTTTTTATATTGTATTGTCCCAATAGTGCTATTAGTTTTAAACTTTCCACGCTAGTTTTAATTCTAATTGTGATATTCTAGTTGTTTTACTGTCCTTCGTCGACAGGTTTTTATAATATACATATATTCCACTTCAAAGTCAAATATGTTCTCGTCGCGATATGGCTGCAATATTGCCGATGTGACGTTAAACAATAACTCACTCACTCACTCATAATTTATGGCTAGGGGGGGTGATGGTGATTTTTATGGAGGAGCATGTACAATGAGAATACCACCGCCCCTAAAATCTGAGTACAAAGTAAGTACCCCTCCCCCCCAATGTCATGTTCAAAATTGCTGACCGCCTAGTACATGTGTACAAGATTGATGACCCCCCTACCTCCCCAGTACAAAATGGGTGACCCCCTTTCAATCATCACCACCAGCCCTAAATTTTGAACCGTCCCTATTGAGGACATGTCTGCGTCATCGTTACATCGCACATGAAATCTGGTTAATCGGTGCAAGTTAAAGCACTACGTATTCCAAATATTAACAAATAATGATTCTCTTTAAACGTTATGTTACTATGGCAACATGGATACATACTTAATGATCGAAATTAATAACTGAACGTTAATTATAACCTATGAATATACCTCAGGTAATTACACTTACCCTGTGTACACACATATATGTTGTCACTGATTCGCTGCTTTTTTATTTTGTCTATTAACATGTCGGTGTATTTGCTTGTACAGAAGGAATGTGGGAGTAATAGTGTTAGAGAACGGAGGAAGAAGTCATTTGCAGGCGTGTGTGGAGACGTTGACGTACAGAGCATGTGACGAAGAGTGAGAGGCAGGAGGGGAGAGAGAGGGGGAGATAGAACGGAGAGGGAAAGACCGGGGGAGATAGTACGGTGAGGGAGAGAATTAAAGGAGTCGGAAATTGAATGGAGAGGTAGAGAGAGATAGGGGTAGAATGAGAGGGAGAGAGAAATGAAATTTATTGGGAAAGAGTTGGAGAGCGAATACAGTAGAGTATACGAAACAGCAGGAGTTGTGTGTGTGTGTGTGTGTGTGTGTGTGTGTGTGTGTGTGAGAGAGAGAGAGAGAGAGAGAGAGAGAGAGAGAGAGAGAGAGAGAGAGAGAGAGAGAGAGACACAGAGAGAGAGAGAGAGAGAGAGAGGGAGAGAGAGAGAGAGACAGAGGGGACAGAGAGAGACAGAGAGAGAGAGGAGAGAGAGAGGAGAAAGGGGGCTGAGAGGGAGAAAGAGGGACTGAGAGAGAGAGAGAGAGAGAGAGAGAGAGAGAGAGAGAGAGAGAGAGAGAGAGAGAGAGAGAGAGAGAGAGAGGAGAGAGAGAGAGAGAGAGGATAGAATGGAGAAGCAAATTTTGGGACAGAGTTGAAGAGCAGAAGACACTAGAGTATAAGAAAGAGAGAGGATTGTGTGTGTGTGTGACAGAGAGAAAGAGAGATAGAGAACAGAGAGAAAGAGAGAGAGAAGAAAGAGAGGAGAGAGAGAGTGTGTGTGAGAGAGAGAGAGAGAGAGAGAGAGAGAGAGAGAGAGAGAGAGAGAGAGAGAGACTGAGAGAGAGACAGAGAGAGAGAGACAGAGAGAGAAAGGGAGAGGAGAGGGACAGAGTGTGAGAGAGACAG